TATAATTATATATAAAATATGTCCATACATATAATATTTTTTCCTGGGTAGAGAAATTATGATTTTGAACGTTAATTTTTTATGATTCGATAATGCAATTTGGTAATATAGCTTTGTAACTACATCATACGTATACTATATAATACAGTAATTTATTTATTTAATTGTTGTCATAATAGATATATAAATGTGCACAAATATAATAATTATTAATACGGTTTACGTGCGTAGGGCATTAATGTATATTATAAGCTTCAGTTGAATATAATTTGTTTGATATGATGCTTGCATTCATTGAATAAAAATATATAACTTTTATATATACATTTTTTATATATACATTAAATGCAAGAATTGCTTTTGCGTTTAACTACTATTAATCTAAATTGAAAATATTTATAAAATATTTATAAAATAAATACAAACAATTTCTTATATTTTAATGTTTAACGTTTTTCAAAACCTAAGTTCTTTTTAACATTCATTTTTTTAAATATATTTTAATAGATAAGTATAAATATATTAATTTAAACAAAACAATAATTTTTAATTATACAAGCGAGTTCCTTCCTGTAAAGGATATGCTGTAACGTCTCTTTCATGACATGATATTATATTATGTACTACAAAAATATACTTGACGAGAGCCACTACTGCGTCTCCAGATTGCACGCATATTATACTTCATATTATATCAATGTATGCACAGATGTAAAAAAATTAATTAAAACTTATTATCTGCTCAATTAGCTAAAATTTCACAAATGTGTAATACATATACTGAACCCGTTTTGTAATACGGATAAATGCATCGTTTTATTAAAGTTATGGTTCAGAGCAACTGACAGATAACAAATGCAAGGTAAGCGTTTGCCAACGGTATTTCACTGTCCTTCGCATTGATACGTCACATGGACGATGTTGGTTCCAGATATTTCCCTCATAAATTTGTGTTTGTGAAAATGTAATTTGCGGATGAAACCGCACCTGGACTGTATGAATTTTCATGAAGTTGGCAACCCCGAATCCCCAGGATATGTTGCGTGGATATTCCGTCAGTCTCCAGAGTATTACGTGATGAAAGTACGCCTTTGGCGACTACGGGATATGTGAAACAATAGCAGAAGTCATAAGAGAAACTTGTCTGATACATGTATGATAATATAAATATAAATATTCGATAAATTTGAGCAATTTCAATCAAGTTAACAATATTTTTCAATCAAATTAACAATATTTTTCATTTAATAGTATTCTCGAATATAAATCGTCTCAAGTTACTAGCCATTTTTAATATGTTCAAATAGATATTATACGAAATAGATATAAAAAAAAATTGAAGATATTATGTAAAAGAACTTCTTTCACCTCCTTCTCTTTCTATATATCTTAAAGTCTATATTAATATTATAATTTCGGCAACAGTTAATCATTTATCATAGTATGTACAATTTTCATTATTTTATGCGCATAATAAATGAATATGTGCAATATTTTTAAATGTTGCCTAAAATTTTGAAAAATATATTTTATTCTTGGAATTACCAATTATTATGTTAAAGATATATAATGATTTGATCGGAAAAAGAACTTATTTCACATAAAATTTACATTTATACATATATATACATATATATACATATATATATATAAAAAATATGTTTAAAGGTAATATTATTAAAATATATATTTCAAAATATGTGCGCGTAAATAATGTAAAAATCACCTTTTATTAATAAAAGATGAATTGATCAATATAGGATTGTTAATTGCTCTAGTTTATTAAATCCAAGTAAGATGATAAAAAAAATGTAGTTTAATGAGAAGACAAGCAAACTGGTACTACGTAGGTACAGATATCATGCAATATAGATGAACCAGTAAAACACGTGAGTAGCGTGCAGTGTTGGTTAAAGTGTCAGGAAAACCCTGGAGGCTTTCACGTTTCACGAACAAGTATGTGAGTCTTTTACTGGCTGTCCAATAGAAAACAGCATATAAGATATACTGACATCGGTTCATCGAATACACTCCACGTTTATAAAATGTAAAATATTATTCCCCTATGATTTTTGATTCTTGACTCATCATGAAAAGAGAAAAATTGCTTCTTTCATAGCATTTTTACATATGCGCATATGAAATTGTTTCATTTTATCGCTACCGGATATATTTGTATTAATAATTTTATACGTATAATATTATGACCTATGTATATTTACAATATAATATAAAATAGAATTAAAATAATTGAACGGATGGTTTAATGAACCTATCAGATATTTTTTTAATTAATGTCATGGCTATCATATTGAAAAGTATATTATTTTAATTTCATCATTCACAAAAAAGAAAATTTGAATAATACGAAATATATTAAGTACCTATCTCTCTCTAAATTTCTTGGAATGAAATCTCATTCTAAAAGAGTGAAAATACTGCTACTATTGAAAAAGAATAAAAATATTTTACACTCTTGAATAAGAGTAGCAGATTTTCACTCTTTTTTTGGAGTGAGATTTCTTTCTTTTGAAGTGAAAATTTGCTCTTGAAGATCTTATTCAAGAATGCAAAATTTTCACACCTTTTCAATAGTAATAGTATTTTCATCTTTTTGGAGTGAGATTTGGAGTGAAGAAATTTAGAGAGTACAATTCTATTTTTCTATTCGTACATTTTTTAGGATAAGTTTAGGATAAAGTTTTCAGCATTAATATATGTATCTAATATATTTATATTAATGATTTTCAATTAATAAATATTCAACAAAAAATTCGTTTCTTGTGTGAAATATAACAACACCCAATTTCCTATTATACATTAATGAATCTGGAATAAATATACCTAGGGCGAATTTGACGCCGGTCCAGGCTTGCCTCACGTAGTTGATTAACCTCCTGTAGAGAGGTCTTGGTGGTCTCTTGGTGGAAGTCCCCTCCTCATCGCTGTCGTTATCCAGCGTTCCCGGCGGCGGGTCTACGCCCGACAGGGTACCAGCTTGATTCCTCTTGCCGAGGATATTCACAACCTCCCGCAGCCCAGGCGCAACGCCCTGCAGTCCTGGTGCGTAATTCGCGGGGGCGACGCCGGAACCAAAGAGGTTCGCGCCGCCCCCGCGACCTCTGCCACGTCCACGACTTGCGCGACTCCAAACAGTACTACTGCCTTTGAGAGTTTACGACATGATCAGATTTCGATATTATATGACTTAGTAGTCCATACTTTTTACATAAATGAGAAATCGAACAACATCAAGATGATCGGATGTTTCATTTTTATAGATATATGCTATATATTCAGTCATCAAAATGACACGTATTTATAAGAATTTTAAATTTCTTAAAATATGTTATTGTTCCTTTTTGCAATTTAAAGATCATTTTAAACAAAGGAAATTTGAATTATTTAAAAAAAAAAATTCATAATACGGAATTGTTCTTGAATTACAATTTTCGAGTTCAAAAAATTGAAAAATTCGTTTTCAAAAAATTCATGATATACTTATCAAATGACGAAGGCAGTATTATATTACGACGTAATAAATAATATATTGTAAATATTCTCAAGGTGCCGTTTGTTTTAAAAATAACGCGAACAAATATCAGTGTAGATAATTAACGAGGACATTAGAGAATTTTGAACTCTCAAAGATAAATTCAAAATATA